TACACAACCAACATTCGACAGCCCATGTGCACATAATGAAGCCAATATTGAACAAGACCTGGGAGTGTGATACCGAAATCAAACCGAAATAGAGCAAGAAAACCGATCGATTAGTACCAGGTGGGATGTATCCGAACAGTAGAGATGTGAGGTGTGACCCCCCGCTTATGTCAAGCTACTAGCCTTTAATGAGACAGTCATTCTTGTATGGCAGGGATCAGACCATAAAGCTACTTACCGACGAATCAATAGTCCCCAGATATTCCTGCTCGATAGAGCTCAATATAGCTTTCAGGGACAAGACCATGTTCTTCCTCATGATTCGCTTCCTCGGTGAGCGCACGCATATCCGGAAGAGTGTCTTCAGGTGTCCAAGAGCGGAGTGCTACTACCCACCCTTCTCCTCCCCCCCTTCCGAGAACCCGTATCAACTGGTCCTCATTGACGCTCATCTCTGCCGGACTTTCCGCTGTAAATGCAAATAGGACACGATAGATTCCAGGCCTCAGCGAGTAGTCTTCGCGATCGCTAGACTCTGGTGACGAATCCTCGTCACCATCTACGCCATCCATTTCATGATCTAGATGGGGATCGTGTAGACGGGAATGAGAGAAGGGGTGTAAAGGGGTGTGGACATCTCCCGTAAAACTGTCATCCTCTTCATCTCTATCGTTCGGAGTCGGAACCTCATTGTCTTCATGTTCTTCTTCTCCACTTTCTTCATAGAATCCACTACTTTCTTCCTCGCTAATCTCCGTCCATCGCCCACCAACCCCTCGGTTTCCCAGACCATTCCAAGCTCTTGATCGATTCTTGAGTTCTGCACGCTGTCCACCCGTAATAGGCGCACTCAGGGGCACACTGCCTCCGGTTATAGTACCGATAGGCCATCCCCATTCATCTTCGTCTTCGTCTTCGTTATACGTAACGTCCCATCTATGTTGACCAACTGAAGATCCATAGTGAGACTCGACGCGTCTTAATGAAAAGAAAAAAGTGAAAATACCTATTCTGTGTTGAGGAGGTCGCTCAGAGGCCGGCTTCAGTTCCAAAGGCACTTTAGAAAAGCGTTCATCATCCTCTTCGAAGGCGTAGTCGCGCACCACAATCGGATGATCGCGATACCACTGAATATCCTCGAGATCCATTCCTTCTTTAGACTGGGATGCATTCGTGGGTCCTGCCTCTTTCCCGGCTTCAGAGGTCGCAGTGTCAGCGACGGAAGAATAAAAACTGGCATATGCAGCCTCCAACTCGTTAGCATGTCGAGCAGCGACTCTTGATGGAGTAGAAGAAGCAGA